CGAATGGAGAATTAAAGCATGTCAGAAGTTCAACCTTGGAACTGGAATTTAACAACAAAGTGTTGTTATGGATTTTGTGCAATGTGTCGTAGTACATGGCACAAAGAAGCATTAGTTGCAGTGCACCAGAGCTTAGTCACGGCAAACACTCTGAAAAATCTAAGAATGATTTAAAAAAACTTGTTTGCTTCTTGTTTTAAACTTTGTTTGGTATCTCATGCTCTGATATGATTTGGCACTCTGATTTATACATGTTTTAGCTTGAAAAGATTTAATTTATGAATTTAAAACTTGGGATTCCATTGATTCAGAGTGGTTTTTCAATACTAATGTGGGTGTTAAATTTTTCTAGTATACTAACATTTATTATTTGGCTTCAAACCTTTCTACCGTGGTAAGCCAATAGATATATAACAATTCAGGAATTGAAATAAGAGTAAAATTAATGAAAAATATTTTTTCTTTGTATTTTTATTAATTCTTGGAACAAATATACCAAGAAGGAATTTAGATCTAGTGGAAATTGTGCTACTTACTCATCTACCAAGTCATAGTTTTGAATCATAGTGGTGCCACAGAGTTTTATTTATTTACTTTTGCTTCAACCTTTATAATTTACCATTTTGTCCCCATCATAAAATGATTTCCCCCTTCTCATATCACTTTCACAAGGAATGCCATAAGAGAAGGAGTTAACCCCAAAACCCGCCTTTACCCTTTAATGTTTTCGGTATGTCACTAATATGGGTGTGTTTGAGTTCGCTATTTTCTATTGTGCTAAGGGTTTGAGTTGCAAGTTCTTTTACTTCCTTGTCTCGCCATGATTCCTTGTTTCTTTCTTTGTCTGTGTGATCATTTTGGGTATGTAAGGATCCTTTGCCTCCTCCTCCTTGGTCATGCCTACTTCTTTGTGTGTGCGTGTTATAACATCTTGATTTTTAAATCAGGAATTACTGGTGGAAATGGAGATTTTAATTAAGGAAGTTAAATCTTTAGTAATATTATTTCTAGGATTAGTTAGAGAAATAAATGTGTATTCAAGGTAAATTGAGGTTAACTGGGTGTTTAGGCAATTAATTAGGACTTAAATTGGGCTACCTAACATATGACCACATGTGGATGAGCACAACACAAAGCTTGACAATGCATTGATAAAGGATCAAAATGCACTCGTTTCACTTAAGGGTTGTTTGCTTGTAGACAAGATAGTTTCCTATCCTAATCGTGTGCGAACAAGACAGTTAGTTATAAGCATCCCAGGTTGCATTTTCAAATAGAAATGTGAGAGAGGAAAGAAAATCAGAGAGAAGCTCCGGTGAAGCTTTACTAGGGCACAATTTTCTAATGACTTGGGTTGTTTTCAGGCTGTGCAACTATAAGGTCTCCCTTAATATTCTCTAATTAACTCCAATTTCAAGATAGTCAAGAGATTATTTTAAAAAGATTACCAAGTGTATATGTCTTACAAAACAGAGATCCTAAGTTTTCAAAATAAAAAACAATTTAATGTAACTTTACAATTCAAAAATCAGAACTATAGATGTATGTAAAAGCATAGGATCTTTCTCAAGTTAAAGTATTTACATAATAATTAGAAAGCACAAATAGTGTAGAAAAGCAGATATGCATCATAGCTTGCCTTATGTGTGCTATGGCATGTTTGTCTCCATGCCATGCATCGCGATGCCTTGTAAGTTTTTGATAGCTTTACTGCTGTCATTTGACAATAACAGGGGTGAACTTTTGACGTGCTCTATTTTTTTTATCTAATGCTCCATTGAGGTGATCTAGATATCTAAATAGAGCTTTTTTCTAACTCTAGCTAGTGGCATTGAATTCACAATAAAATAATTTCTTAGTTAAGAATTGGATACCCCTTTCACAATTCACTCATTTTCACAAATTAAACATAATTTAGGTGTCCTAGTTCCATACCAAATGTCAAAAACCTCAAGTATACCTTAGGCCACACTCAATAAACTATAATGAATCTATGTAATACACCACATCTCACAAACAATATATATATATAACACATTTTCAATACTCAACCCCTAAATCATAAAAATAAAAAGGGAAGCCTTAAATTCACAAATCATCATATGATTTCACAATAATCACAATTTTACTTACTTCCTATTTGCACTAGTATTTTGGCCTTGATTTAGTTTTCACCCAAAATATATCATTCAATTCAACATTCTCATTGTGCAAGTAAAACAAAAACATTTACTTCCCTAGTTGGCAATATCATGCAAAATTATACACATAATTACCAAAATGAGAGTGAGGCCCACAGTTAGGATAGTAATCCTATGCCTTGCATTGTTTCCCTTAATCTTGACTTGATAAGCTAGCTCTTGTAACATTGAAGAGAAAGAGGTAAGTACAACTACTCAGTAACTAAGGTATTTCTAACTTATGCTAATGCATATCAATCAATTTAAATACAAATGGCGATTCATTGTCATACTCATAACAATTTAGTATGTTTAGGAACACTTAATTTCATTTTTTTATCATCATTGACATAAAGTCATGACATAACAACATGATAATCAATTTTCACAATATTATAAAGTTAACCATATAATTTCATCTCAAGGGACACAATAAAGACAACTATATGCCCTTTTTATCATAATATACATGACCACACCTCTCTTATATCCTCCTTATGCCTCTAATGCAAAACCATGGGCTCTAACACATTAGGACCATCTATGAAATAAAACTATCCTAGCCATTCACATGTAAGGGGTTGCCTGACCAAGGTTGTCTAGCTCACTTATGGGTCATGATTTTCCTAAATCTCAATTGTGGAGTGTTATTCTCCCTAATCTAGCTTCCTCATCAAATAAGTGAAAAACTAATTAGGTTCAAGTCCCTCATCAAACAAGTGAGAAAATAAGTATAAATAAATCCAGGCAAGTTATCAAGCTCTAATAAAAGCCTTACCATATGGATTTTAATTATCTACCCCTCTTCTTAGGAGAACTCCCACTTTTCATGGTCATGCAGTGCATAAAGATGCAATATTTTCATGGCATGTAAATCCTCAATGTACAGGCATGCATAATATCATCATTATGCTCAAGTTATAAATGAAACATCACATAAACACACATAACCAAGTCATTGAACTCCACTTGCTTTATATCATCGAACTCCTTACTATACACATTCATTGAACTCCTCAAACAACATGTCATTGAACTCCATAAGCATCATACCATTGAACTCCACAAATACTATTTCATTGAACTTCTTACGAATCAAGTCATTGAACTCCATAAAAACATAGTATTTTATTTTCAAATATTTTATGCCACACTTGCATCAAATGATTTTACATCTTTTATTTATAACATTTAAATCAACAAATCAATTAACATGTAAAAGTACAAGAAATAATTCCCTTAGTTACCTTAAATCTTTGAAAGGTTAAAGGTTTACGCCTCAATTACACACATTCAAAGCTTTCACGAAGCTTGAATGGTTTCAAGTTGTAATTACTCTACATTTAATAATCGTAACTACCCTTTTAGGATAAATTTCAATATCTAAATCAACATTTTCAACTCTTACAACTCAATCATTTCATATACAATAGTACCTATGGGGTTTATTAGCTTCTTCTAACTCCTATTAACTTTATTAAACTTCTAACTAGCCATTAATGACACCATATTGCCCTAACCACCTCATTTATGATGGAATTTCATGTATTTATTACCTTACAACTACCAAAATCATAATGCTATAAATGCTAGGTCCAAATAGTTTAAACAACTCTCATTAACTTTATTTGAGTAAATGGCCTCAAACCTATAACCGTTATGGATTGAAAATTATATTTCTCAACTAAACCTTAACTTTTAAATTGAAGAAAAATGGAAGAAGGAAGATAAATATTTAAGAAACTTACCTCTAGTGTTTAGAAGCTTTAAAACACTCTTAATGCTCCAATTCTTCAAGCCCTAGAAGAGCTCTTTGCATTTCCTTCATTTATCTTTTTCTTTATTTCTATTTTTAGCATATAACGAAGGCCTATTTCTATAAAATCATAACCGTGCACCATGGCACTTATACCACACGCTACAGCATGTGGTACAAACATGGGAGTCTTGCCTTCTGGTGGCTCGTGCACAGTGGCATGCCATGCATGTGCTGTGGCATATGGTATAGACCTATTTCATATTGTTTTTCTCGCTTTTTAACATCCAAGTGGCTAGACTTTACTTTGAACCAATCCTAAGGTTGAAACCACAACCCATAACACTTGTTAGCTCTTTGTAACTACACACCATATTAACTTACTTAACTACATTCATTTACTTTGCTAATTCAGGGTTAAATTCTCTAGGATGTTATAACAACTACTTGAGGTGAGTCCCTAGTCATCTAATATACCATTCTACCTAGTTTTCTTTATGATCTGGGATGATTTTCAAATTAAGGTTTTCCTATGGAATAGATAATATGAATCCATGATGATTTATTATGTTTATTAAAGTTATTGGGAGTATAATAAATGCTATGGAACATTTATTTAAGGTTAGAATTCAAATTTGAGATTTTTAGGTGAAACCCTAAGCCTTAAAGGTTGAATATGAGGATTAATCCTAATTATTGGTATATTTTTTTTATTTCTAGCTATCTATTTGAGCATATATAAATGTTTCTAAGGTGCAAGAATGATGATTTCATGCTTAAGGACAATTTTTTTTATTTTTTGATGTACTTTTGGATGAATTTTAAAATATGTGATGATGAAATATTGATGTTGGGAGTAATTTAAGAATTTATTTAGAGTGTAGAAGTGTAAGAAGATTTTAGAAAGAATTTTTGGAAGGATTAAGATAGGTCGTAACTTTAATTTAATACTAAGTGTGGTTAGGCCTAGACTTCCTAACTCTATAATTAGAGTTAGTTATTGAATTCAGTTGTGAAATTAATGCTCTATATTATTAAATGATTGTGTAGATTGTATTGACATAAAGAATAGTGAGAAATCACATGTGTGGAGGACTTTGATTTGCTTGGAACAAAGGTAACATTTACTAATTTGTTACAGTAAGTGCTTTATGATTTATTATGTGTAATTTTGTGAAATGAGATATTTTCTAGAAAATAGTATATTAGAAAAATGTATATTTGTTATTTGGAAAATTAAGTGCCAAGTGGGTTGGGTTATTAAATATGGAAGAAATTATATGTTGATATGAAAATAATATCCTTGTCTAGTCTATCTAGAAACATTTTTTTGTCTGGAGATATCCTCATCTAGTTTATCTGAAAACATATTTTTGTCTAGAGATATATCTTGTCTGGTTTGAACTAGAAATATGTTTTTGTTTGGATTTATAGTGCATTGACTTGTTAGGGTATTTTGAAATTTATTAGATAAGGGATTTTTGTCTGGTTAAGATTTACAAGTGTAAACCCTTATTGGACCTAATGAATGACTAGTAGCTTAGATTGACTCACCTTTAGCCATGTGACTCAGTGCCAAGCATGAAGCATGGAGGGATATAAGGTTTAGTCATACATATATGTTTTGGTTACATAATATATATTTTGCCAATTTAGGATGATTTTGACTTTTGTTGAGCATATAGACTCTACTATTGATTAACTACACATATATTGCCATAAGAACTGTCTATCTCTTACGGCCTTTGATTGGGTTAGTATATATTAGTATATATTACCATGAGGGTTCTGTTTGTGTAATATTATCCTTACTAAACCACAATTACTCCTAAAATCCAAGGTAATCATGGGCTAGCCTAATTGGATTACTAAGTTTTCAAGATTTGCATAAATAGGATCCTAAGTTTTCAAAATTTAAAATACAAAAATATAGCTTCATTTAATTCAAAAATTAGAGTAGAATGTATATGCAAAAGCATGGATCTTAAATAAGTCAATGCATTTGCAAAATAGTTGAAAATAGCAAAACAGTACACCGAAAATAGAGGTGCGACATGGCTTGTTGTACGTGCTCTGTCGCACACACACTGCGGCGCATTGCATGAAATTTGACAGTAACTTTGCTGTCATATGATTACTCTAGTGGTGAACTTTCAACTTGTCCCATTTCTTCATTCGATATCCAATTGAGGTAATATAGGTGTCTACAAAGAGCTTTCTCCTAGCTCTAGGTAATGACATTGATTTTACAACTAAATCAATTTTCAATCAAAAGATGAATATTCATTTTCAAATTCACTCCTTTTTCCACAATAATGCACAACTAGGGTGTCCATTTCACAATACAAGTACCAAAAGCTTACACCAACCTTTATACACTCAATAGACTATCACAAGCTCGTGCAATATACCATAGCCAAACATTTACACATATATCACATTTCCAACACTCAGTCTTTTAATCACAAAAACATGCAGGGGAGACAATTCACATAATTTCATATTTAAATCATCATATTTATTTGTTCACACAACTCCCTACTTTTACTAGTATTTTGGCCATATTTAAACTTTACAATTGTATAACATATAGCTTAGGGCACAAAATACACAATCAAATTAAATTTTACAATTAGTGCAAGTAGTTACATAAACTATATTAACTCCTAATTAGCAAATTATCCATAATACAGATAATTAAAATGATACAAGTCCTACAGTTAGGAATTACACAGAATCTTATGCCTCTAGTCATTTTTCCTGGTCCTAATTCGATAAGTTAGTCTCTATAATATTAAAGAATGAGAGGTGAGTACAATCACTTAGTAGCCAAGGTCAATCTAGCCTATTCAATTACATATCAATTAATTATAGATGCAAGTGGCAATAATAAACTTTTCACAATTTTGTAAGATTTTCAAAAGGTTGCAATGACTATAATACTAACAACCATATGGTTGGGCACAAATATATATATATATATATATCATCTCATAACATGCACAAACCACAATGCATATATGGGATCACAATAATAATAACCATGTGCCCCTCTCAAGTCACATCGTACCACACTAATAACAACCATACGGTTGGAAATATAAATACATGATCAATGCCATCCTTATGTTATCTTGATACTTTCGACATGAAATTGTGGCTATTTAATGGCTACATCTAAATTTAGACTAAGCAAGCCTTCTACTCATTAGGAGCTACCTAGCTAAGGCTGCCTTATTCACTTATAATCTGCAATTTTTCCTAATACTAAAAATCATGGGGTGTTGTATCTCTAATCTAGACTCTTTATGAACCGATGGAGTCTAGTTAAGTTTGAGTCCCTTGAAGAACAAATAGGATAGTTCCTAATAAACCATAAGACAATGGCTACGTACTCGATTCTAACGGTCGGTAGCTAGCTGACTTTTGATTCCAACTATAAGTTGCCATTACCATGTGGATTTAATACTACTCTTCTCTCTAGGTGAACTCCCACCATAATGCTTATGCCATACACACATTGACTCATAGTATGCAAAAACATTGACAACCATCACATCATATCATACTAATCACAAACCATCTCCATCATGCTCCACATATCTCATCAAGGACAATATCATATACTGTTCATTTTCACACACACGCACACGATCTTAACCATTAGTATCAATAACACATTTATAACATACATATCATTTTTTATTAATCCATACACATACTTGCGCAACCCATAATTTATCACATTGCTAAATTTGTATCAAAAATAAATTAATCTCTGTCACCATTTCTAAACAATTTCTTTCAAGGTACAATTAATTAATAAGCAATTATACAAGCTAGATTTCCCTCAGTTACCTCCAACCTTTGAGAGGTTAAAGGTTCACCACTTAAAACATACACTTCCAAAGCTCCAATAGCTTGAATAATGCTAAATTAGCTAATATACAATTTAACTACAAGGATAATCATTAATATTCTTATTTGGATAAATTCCAACACTTATCTCATCATTCTAATTCACTCAAAATCACAACCTTTTATTATCAAGCATACCCATTGAGTCTATTAGGCTCCTTTAACTCATACTATCATTAATAAGCCATTAAACAATCATGAATGGCTATTTTACTCTTCCAGCCTCATTATGGCCAATTTTTAGACATTAATGGCCCTTACCAACTAAAGACTTGTAAAACCATTAATATTAAGTTTAAATAATCTAAAACATTCTTAAGGATCCTTAAACTCAAACCCGAGCAGATCTTAGTGAATGCTCTTTTTTTTCTCCTTCCTTTCCTTCTAATTTCACGAACTAGCACAAACTTATTTCTATCAATTTTTATAGCACGTGGCATAGAGAGGTCATTTCTTCATTGATGGCTATAGGTGTGCCATAATAGATGTGCTGCATGCTGTAACATGTGGCATAGAATCTCTCTGTTCAAATTTTCTTCTCCTTTGATGTTTAAGTAACCTGACTTCTCTTGTGGCTTGAATTTAGGGTTGAAACCATATTCAAACACACTATTAGACCTCTCTAGCCATACACCATATCAATAAACTTAATTACCTTAATTAGACTTAATTAATTGGGGTTAAATTTCTAAAGTGCTATAGTCTATCCCTCATGGTCTAACTATTTATTTAAGATATTGATGCTACGGTCAATTTTTTAGAAATCTCAAACAGTAAGTTATGACATGTTTGATAGAACGTTGCTAAATGTGAATGTGTTTTGACTAAGTAAACCTTTAGAAGTGGGCTTTAGTTGGTTATTGTTTTGGCCACTTTTGGGTATTTATGATTAAATTCTATTATTTAGAAAGTATGATTATCCAACTAAAGTTTGGTGGTTGATTTATGGGTGTACTTGAGTCACTTTCGTGAGTCATTAATTGTATTTGATGTATTATCTAAAATTATGCTACCATGGGAACCATGTATTATCTAAAATTATGCTACCATGGGAACCATGTTTCTGTGCTTGTTTGTGATTGTAAAGCAATTATTAGATTTCAAATATTGATTTTTCAAATGGAATCCTAGTAGGTATATTTTATGTGAATATTCTTTTCATTGATTTTTATTTTAGTAGCTTATTTAGTTCCTAAATTGCCATGGTAGGTTGCTTTTATATGTTTAAATATTTTCTACCATAGTAGATCTTTTTTTACCATGATAATCTATTTTGAGTGTTATTTATGTAAAATTCTAGAATTTTAAACCCAATTAACCAAACTTAATTAGGGTAATTAAGTTTATTGATGTGGTATATGGCTAGAGAGGTCTAATTAGTATGATTAATTGTGTTTCCAGCCTTAAATAAGGGTCTAAAGTGAAGTCAAGTTGCCTGAATATGAAAAAAGGGGGAAAATCTGAGGGAAGTAATTCTATACCACACATCGCGATATATGGTTCATCAACCGTGGCATGTGTGTGTGAACTAGTAAGGGGTTGGCTTCTCTATACCATGCTTTATGACGCGTGATGCATGCATCACGATGTATGGTCAAAATCTTCTGGTATATTGATCACGAAATAGACTAAAGCCAGAGGAGAGAAAAAAGAGGAAATGAAAGGCACGATATTGGCTCTATTAGGGCACGAATTTGGGGATGTTTAGAGACATTTTGGAACTTCCTAACACCCAAGGTAAGTGCATTATGCTTCTCTCTTCCCTTTCCTTCCATTTTTATGAAAGTTAAAGTTAAGGTTTGAGTTGGGAGAGTGATTTTCAGTCTATATGAGCTATGGGTCCGAACCCATTAGCTAAAATTGATATAATTAAAATTGTTTAAAATATTTAAACCCTACATTAGTGATTTTATGATTTGTTAGTTGTTAGGGATCATTAATAGCCAAAAATGGCAATAAATATAGTTGTTGGAGTTGTGTTAAAGCTATTAATAGTGGTTTAATGGCTCATTAATGACAATGTGGGTTGTTAAAACTTGGTAAACCTAATGAGTATGATTAAGAGTAAGTTATGATTTTGATAGGAAGAGAATGCGGAATGTGAATATTGGAAATTGTTCAAAAAAGGGATATTAATGAATGTCTTTGTGATATAATTGTAATTTAAACAAATTGGCACCATTCAAGCTTGAGAAGAAGCTTTAAAATTTTGTACTTTGAGGGTAAACTTTTGACATCTCAAAAGTTTTAGATAACTGGGGAAAAATGTAGTTCATATTGTTATTTATTAATTAATTATTTGTTGAATCTAATGGTCTAAAACTGGTTTTGTGTTTTAAATACCCACTGATGCAAATTTGGCATTGTTTGAAGTTGTGTTTAATTGTTGAAAGAATATGTATGTTTGTACATGTGTGATTAATGATGATGATTGAACGTATGTTATTATGTGATATCGATATGTGGAGTATAGTGGAGAATGAGAATTTTGTAAACATGATATAATGGGATTAATATTCATTGAATGGCATACAACTTGTTATTATTTGAATAGCATAATTATTAACAGGAATTTCACCTAAGGAGAAGAGTAGATTGGTATATTCATGTGGTGATAGCAACTTATCGTTGGAATTTGAAGCTTGGCTTGGCACCGACCATTAGAATTAAGAAGTAGCCATTATCCCATGATTGATTCAAGACTAGCCCACTTGTTCTTTGAGGGACTTAAACCTAACTATTCTCCATCGATTCATGAGGAGGCTAGATTAGGGATACGACATCCCATGGTTATTAGAATTAAGGAAAACCATGGTACACAAGTGAGTAAGTTAACCCTAGCTCGGTAACTCCTCACAAGTGAAAGATTAGGTTAGTTCAAGTTATAGAAGTAGCCATGAGATAGCCACTAGTTTTATATCGAAGGTATCAAAAGGGTATAAGCTTGGCATTGGTCATGCATTTATAGTCTTGGCCATATAGTTGTCATTATTATAGTTCAACGTGTCTTTTAAGGGTGCATGGTTGTTATTTTTGCAACCCCAAGATGTGCATAATTGTAATGTATCCTATGATATGTGTTGCATGTTCGGTTACATGTTTTTTATTTTTGTGGCATAGGCTATATGTGATTTTATGCATATTAAGATTGAGTTTATTACCATTTGCATCCATAATTAATTGATATGCAACTGTATAGGCTAGATTGACCTTGGTTATTGCATAATTGTACTCACCCTTTAATCTTTAATAGTTTAAGGCCTAGCTCATTAGATCAAGATCGATGAAAACTACCGGAGGCATATGATTTTGAGTAAATCCTACTTGTAGGACTCCTAGTTTAAATTATGTATATTTAAACATTGTTAATTTGCCAATTAGAAGTTCATACCATTCTTTTAACTAGTTACATTATATTTGAGAATATCTTGTGTTTTTTATGCCCTGAGCTAGTGAGATTTGGTTGTAAAGCTTCTATAGGGCCGAAATACTAGTACAAGTAGGGTAAAGTGTGTGTGATTGTCCTTAGATGAATATTTGGTGTTTTATGCATAATTGACTCCCCCTTATATTTTTATATATTAAGGAGTTGATTGTTGAATTTATGATATATGTGTATTTGATTAAATGTGGTGCTTTACACAAGTTCAAAATGGTCTATTAAGTGTGGTTTAAGAGTTGGTGTAGGTTTTTGGCATATGTGTTAAAGTTTGGATACCTTAGTTGTGAGTTTTTTGTGAAAAAAGAGTGAGAATTGAAAAAAGTGTCCAACTTTTGATAAAAAAATAATTTAATTGTAAAACTTATGCCATGAGTTAGAGTTAGGAGAAATATCTCTATAGATACCTAGATCACCCCAATTAGATGTCAGATATAGAAATAGGACACGTTGGAAGTTTGTCCCAGATGCTGTCAATTTGATAGCAAATTGCTGTCAAAGTCGTGCAATGCATGTGTCATTTTTTGTCAAAACTGATTTCCTCACTTTTTTGCAAATGCATTCATTTTTTTTTGGAATCCCATGCTTGCACACATGTTTTAAAACTCTTATTTGTAAATGCTAAAAGTGTATAAAGTATTTTAAATTGTAAAAACTTGGAATCCCCATTTGTATAATTTGACAAATTTAGTAGTCCTTATTGGGATTAAACCCTTAATTACCTTGGTTTCGATTGTCAATGGTGTTTTAGTAAGAATTTATTATAATTTAGATATAAGGAAAATTCTTTCTACCATAGTATGTTTTATAATTTGATTACTATGGTAAGTGATTGAACATGTTATAATTTGATTACTTATTTATTGTTTTTGCCATCAATTTAAAATTTTAAAATGTTACATGTGCCGTTGCTGTTCTTATAACATCCAGAAAATTTTAACCTTGATTTATTAACTTAATTAGGGTAGTTAGTGAGTTAATGAGGTGTGTGGCTAGAGGGGCTTAACTTGGCATAATTGTTGTGATTTCAGCCTTAGAAGTAGGTTCGAATCGATGGCAGGCCACCCGGGCAAGGAAAGAGGATGAAAAAGTAAAAAGTTGTATTCTGTGCCACACGCTGCCGCGCGTGGTTGGTCCACTATGGTGCATGGACATAATTTGAATATAACAGGCTCCTTTGTGCCATGCGTCGTGGCACAAGGCTAAAAATCAAATAAATCAGCTCATGAGCTGCATGATAACAAAAGAGGAAGAGAGGAGGAAAACGAAGAGCTTGGTTTTAGCTCTACTAGGGCACAATATTTGGCTTCATTAAGGATAGATTGAAGCTTCCAAACACCCAAGGTAAGATTATGGTGCTTCCTTCTTCCCTTCCCTCTCTCATTTATGATTATTTATGGTAGGGTTTGAGTTGGGAGATGAATTTTCGATCCATAAGAGTATGGGTCTGATTCCATTGGTTTAAATGAAATTAATGGGATTGATTTAATGTATTGGAACACCACATTGATGATTTTAGAAGTGGTTGGTCCATAGAAGCATTTAATATCTAAAAATTGATATTTATGAGGTAGTTGGGAGATGTTAATGTGCATTAATGATGGTTTGAGGTGTTATTAATGATAATGTGCATTAATGGAATCTAATGAGCCCATTGGGTATGATTGGGTAGTGGTTATGAATTGGTAAAATAGTGTATGAGGAGTTTTTATATTGATAGAGCTTGAAGAGAGATTTGTTTTATAAATATCCTTATGATTTGGTTGTAGAGAGATTCGTCTTGGTACCTTTTGAGCTTGTTGAAGCTTGAAAAAGTTAATATAGTGAGGGGTAAATCTTTGATCTCTTAAAGGTTTGAGGTAACCAAGAAAAACTTAATTTTTATAGTTAAATGTTAATTGTGATGAAAAATGTGATTTGTGAGTTAATTTGATGATGTATATTGGAAATGTTTGAGTATGAAATGGTCTTGAAAAAGAAAACCTTGATTCTACCACCCTTGATGTTTTATGAAATTAATTGTGATTTATTACTGTAGGTGGAGAATTTTGATGAATTATGTGTTAAAATATGAAGTATATGTGTTATGTGAGTCATGTGTTGAGTAACGAATGTTGAAATGCATAAAATGTGTGAAATATGCATGGCATAATAATTGGCGGGAGTTTTCCTAGAGAGAGAAGTAGTTTGATTGAAAATCCACGTGATATTAGCAATGACCGTTGGAATCGAAAACTAGCCTTAGCACCGATCATTGGAATTGGGAGATAGCCCTTATCCCATGGTTGATTCGGGACTGTCCCACTTGTTCTATGAGGGACACGAACCTAACTAGTCTCCACCATTCATGAGGAGGCTAGATTAGGGGTACGACATCCCATGGTTGTTAGTATTAGGGAAAACCAGATTACATAAGTGAGAGAGTTAACTCTGGCCTGGTGGCTCGTCATAAGTGGAAGGCTAGGTTAGTTCGTGAAGGACGTAGCCATGTGATAGCCGTCAGTTTTGTGTCAGAGATAACAGAAGGATATAAGGTTAGCACACGATCATGTATATAAGTCCGGCTACATGGTTGTTAGTATTGTGGTCCGGCACGTGTTAAGGGCACATTGTTGTTATTTTTGTGACCCTAAGTTATGTTTTTGAAAACAACATGATATAGTGTTTTGTGGCAAGCCCAATAACATGGTTGTTAGTTTTGTAAACTGTGGCCCAATACTGTGTGATATATGTATTATGTGTCTTTTTGCATCTATTTACAATAAATATGTAACTGTAAGGGTTAAGTGAAACTTAGTTACTAAGTGATTGTACTCACCCCTCAATTCTCAATATTTTTAGGGACTAGCTCATCAGATCCAAGTCGGGGAAAACACATAAAGACTTAGGATTTACAGAGTAAATCCTCTTTATGTCTCTCTTTAGTTGTTTACATGTGTAATTGTTAATGTAATTGCCAACTAGGATAAATTATCATGATTAGTTTACTACTTGCATGATTTTGTGTTTATCTAGTGTATTTTATGCCTTGGGTTAGAGAGTTTTTGTTGTGAACCCATAGATAGGGCCAAAATACTTGTGCAAGTAGGAGTATATGTATTTTTGAGAAATATGAATGAAATGGTTAGTTTTGTGCAATTTTTCCTCCCCCTCTATGCTTTATAAAAATTGAAGTTGAGTGGTGATTTTATGAAACAAGTATTTTGGTTGTGTGTGGTATGTCGCATGAGTCTACAAGAGTCCATTGAGTGTGGTAGAAGAGTTGGTGTAAGCTATTGGCACGTGTGGTTGAGTTAGGACACCTCATTTAGGAAATTTGGTGAAAATGTGTCAAAATGGGTTTTAGTGTCTAACTTTTTGATAGAAAATGAATTTGAGTGTGAAACTGGTGCCATTAGTTAGAGTTAGGAGAAAGCTCCGAGTAGACACCAAAACCACCTAAATTGGGCATCGAATAAAGATTTGGGACGTGTCAGAAGTTCACTCCCTATGCTGTCAAATGACAGCACTGATCTGTCAAATTTCCTACAATGTGCTGCGGTGCATGGTGCCTCATGCCGCGGTGGATGGCACAGAGGAGACATGTCGCGGCACACGAACCGTAAGCCGCGGCATACGTGTCAAAATCAGTGTAAAAATTTATTTTGAGTTTTAAAACTCCTTATTTGGGTCCCAATTGATTTTCAAGCTTTCACTTTGTTTTCAAAACTTTGATTTGGAGTTCTTAAAACATATTTGAGATTTGAGCGGTTGAAAATTGAGATTCCTTGCAATAGATTTTGAGAAATTCATTTAGAAACTCTACAATTTGGTTATTCTTGTGAGTTAAGCCCTGAATTACTGAAATTTAGAGTTAAGTGTGATTTAATCTCAAGGAGGTTACAATTCTAATGTGAGCATGAATGTACATGAAGCCTCTTCCTCCTCCCTTATCTGCAACACTGTTCCATTTTTTAAGGAGCTTTAAATTTCCTCTTGCTTTGTCGTGGTTGACCTGAGGTGAGGAACTTCAAATCATTCTCTTCCTTGATTTTGGGTGTGTATGATTAAGTGATTGAGATTGTAAATTTTTCTCTTGTTTTCGGTATTGTTGCTGTGCATGTGTCTGAGTTGGGGGAGGAATTGAATCAAGTTGAAATTTTAGTATAAAGAACAAGATGATGATAGTGTGGGTTTGAGTTTTTTCTTGAGTTTAAATTAATTCTTGATGGGCGATTTGATTGAAAAGGGTATGATAAATCTAAATATTGGTGCTTCAAAATTATGGAGTAAAGTTTGAAGGCTAAGGAGTTTGAGTGAATGGTTGTAAATTGATGCACCTAAGGTGTTTGTTAGGAAGAATTTTGCTTGATTATGTATTTTATGAAATTTCTCTTCTTTTATGCTGTTCAATATTTAAAAAAGAGCATAGGAATTTGGAAATTTTAAATTGCTAATGACTTGGTGAAGATTTGCTTTCCTTGAATGATAATGTTTACGCAACTTTATCAATCTCAAAAGAAGCTTTAACTAGGTTGGTTATTTTTCATTTGTGAATCTAAGACGGGTATGGTGAGAGAACCCATTTAAGAAGTTATCAAAAGATTATCTAAATTCTGGATTCTTGAAAGTTATATGATTGATAAATTAGAAGTTAAAGTATCATTTAGGGGGTTATATTTGAACAGATTGGAAATCGGTGTGCATAAACATTTGTTAAAAAGTTCTGGAAGAGGACCACGTCTCAATTAAATAATTTCAATGTCTAAAGTAATATGAAAGAATTTGGCAAAATAATGGTGATGCTTGATGAAAAAACTAAGATATGAATTTTGGTGTTTTGAAATTTTCATTGGTTGCAGTTGATTGGAGTGGCTTTAATAGTGGAAGGAAATTTATATAATTTGTAGGCATTAATTCAAGTCTTTATTTATATGTTCATTATTAAGAATGGGGAGGAAGGGGATCTTGGTGAAAGTTGAAAAGGAGTAAATCTTTGGGTTTTGGAATTCGATAGATAAGTGGATAAACATTTTAATTAACTTATCAATGAATTTCTTTATTAAAATATTATTTTGAATAAATAATATATACCAATAAATATTTTTCAGTTTGAATATTTCGTTAATTAAATTACTCTAGCTCGTTGAAGTCATAATATGTATGGTGAATGATAGTTAAATTATGATATGTGTATGTATATATATATATATATATTTTTACAAAATATGCCTTTGAGATTGATGAAAATGTTTTTTTTACAAGTTTTTGTAATCCTTTGCTTAAGAAAGGAAAGTTTGTTTTAAGGATATCATTTTCTAATTGATATTTAAAGATTTGTCTAAAATAAGTATTTTATTAATAGTATTTTTTTCAAAACATTGATTATAAACATTGATGCATGGAATAGATAAAGTTTATAAGACATCATTCATGAGAAAAAGTTTTATGTTTTGGAATATTATTTTGGTGAATTTCAATCTTTGAAAAAAAAAATGATATTTTGTTTTGATGATAATTTGATTCCATGCAAGGTTAAAAAAATATTTTGATCAAACTAAATATAGAATGCTAGTTGTTAATAATAATCTTATTAATCCTTAGTGTCTTATGGTATTCGTGAGCATTGTTATTCATGACATCCTAACTTGCTTGTTTTGTAGTTTCTAGTTGCACATGGTCAGGGGTGGAACTACGTTACTGTTGAAGGGGCACAACTTCCTCACCTATTTTATACATATGAGATAGAAAGGAATTGAATTCCCAGAAGCTAAAACAGGGGAGACTAAAGACCATTGTCTTCTCTCATCTCATTAGCGGTGTGTGAAGGAAGTGGGAAGTGGGGGGGGGGGGGAATGATGGTGGGTTCTAGTCAAATTAAGCTTATTCTTTTTTGTCTGCCCAGAAAGCTAAAAGTTTATTGAAGGAAATCATATTCTTATGTATCATCATATTTATTTGCAAGGATATCACACTAGGGTCATTTCAATTTTTTTATTTTTTATTGTCCATTAAAATAAATTTTAGCTAGACCCTATAATATTTTTTTGTTTCAATTCTTAAGATATTTCTACAACCAATAGTCATGTGATTAATCCTTTAAAAAATTCAAGCACCATTCAAGGAGTTATCTCCTCCCAAACAAGTTATATCAAAGGATTTTTATAATTAAAAAATATGAATTTTAAATATTTATATAATTACAAACATTTTTTCACTTAATGATAATTTATAAGTTATAAAATTATTTAAAATTTTTTACCATACATATGCGTATATTAAATTTTAAAATTGCCCCTCCAAATCTAGAGCTAGTTTTGCCCCTGCACTTAGTTATCCATCCTTGTAGGCTGTATATCCATACTTATTGATTATTTGTTATCGTAAATTGCATGTCCATGCTTATTGGTTATTTGCTCTCATGGGCTCTATATCCACGCTTGATCATCATTTTAATTAAGTTTCAATAAACAATAAAATGAGTTTTGGAATTACTTTTTATTTAAATTAATTTGTTAAAGAAGTTGTTCTTTCTTCATGAATGATTTTATGATAAATTATATGTTTACTCGAGAGTTTGGACACGATGTTGTAGCCTAGAATAAAATTCAAATGCCATACTTGCATTATTTTAATCCATCTATTTATGAGAATATATTTACATTGAATTTTTGGCTTATGAGTTATGTGTCTCTATTTTCGTTCCAAATGAATATTGCTACTAAATTCATAATTATTTTATTAGTACACTTCTCCTTTATTTTATTTTACTTAATTTTAAATTAGGATGTTATTCACTAAAAAATTATTATTTTTGGTCTCAAATACATTAGTTAACGTTATACCTCCTATTAATTATTGAGGGGCCATCTATTGATTGAAAGTAGAGAAGCCATTAATAAGCTCTTATTTTTAATGTAAAATTTGAATTTTGAATTTGTATCTTGTAAATCTAATTTTAGGTGCTCCACACAACTTATAGATAGGGTTCTTGTTTTGGTTATATGCATGCTTATCTATTTGTTGGTAGGAGCAGAGCACTTTGTTATTGTTTTAGTTGTAAATTCGATTGTAGAAGTTTCATGAAGTCTTATCTATAAGTTGAAGTTTTGTCAAAATATTTACAAAAATATAAAATCTTTTATCTGTATTACTTGCATGGAGAATGATCTAATCTTGGATTGATTGTGTACATGGCCTTAAAGATAGAATTTCTTAAATTAAGGTTTAAGGTACATAAGTTTATACACATATCCCATGTCAATCACAACTTCTTTTCAAGGCGTGACAATACATACATACATACATAAATACATACATACATATATATATATATATATATATTTATTGTTTGTCTTATATTATAAATTTAATTCTATTGACTATAGTAAATCTTCAAATTAACTATTATCCCTTTCTACTATAATTAGCTCTTTATAGTCGCAATTATTGTTATTTTTATCATGGGAAGATTAATAGAATAGTTATTTTCTAATTATCATAGTAAAGTTTGGTAATATGACTAAGTATTGGTAGTAATTTAGGCAATATTACAATGTGATATTAGATTCTTGAATTTTGAGATCTAGTCTTATGTTTTAGTTGTTACTTAGACTTGTTCATTGTATATAGAGTTGGCAATTATCGTTATTATATATATTGTTTTTTTTTATTGAGCTAGTGACTAACTTACTTTTTTTTGTTATTACTTCCATCTTTAAAAAGAAAGAATGGTACAAGTAGGTAAAGCCACTATTATTGATAACATTTCAGAAAATGTTCCATAAGAGGAACAACAGATACCAAAGCAACATCTCCCAACACTGAAGCAGCCAACACCTTATCCTCACAATGAGAAAATCCTATTAGAGTTATGATAATTAATGTTGGGTATCAAGAAAAAGGTTCATGAACATGATATTTTATTCAAGAGGAGACAAGGAAAAGCCAGTAAGAGTACCAGGAATTATGATCGTGGTAACTAGGATGAGAATATGCATAAGGAAGAGATGCATGATAATGATATGCATGAAGAGAATATGCTTAAGAGTCCAATGTTGCCTAATAGGCCTAATGGTAGCAGTAATGAGAGTTCAATTGACTTAATAGAGTGAACTTGCCTTTAATGTGATCTTCAAAATAGATTAATTAATGGTGTGTCATTTATTAATCACTTCCTCTTATTAACCTTCTTTCTAAAAACTTTAGGTAAGCTTGGGCCAAAAATTAAATTTTAGCTTAAACAAGATGAAATTTAATTGTCAAATGCTTAACCAAACTTGTTATTTTATTAATGTGAAATTTTTACTTTTGAACATTGTTAACAAGTTTTCCATAAGAAATTAACAACTTAATTTTACTAAAATGACGAGTTCACATGTCATTGACAGGTATCCTTTTAGTTATAAAAGTTACATTTTGCATACTGAACCGTATTAACAAGGTTCTCCAAGTAAATTAACCAAAAAAAAAAAAGTTATCAAAATAACAAGTTCAACTATCATGGCGACAAGAATTGCTATTTAAGGTAAGGGCATTATAGTCATTTCATATATAAATTTATTTTTATTTTAGTGGCAGATCCTGTAACATAAAATCTTTGTGTCCTTTTCCATAAAAAAATGTTCTTCTTTTCCCAAAAAAAGAATTAGCAATCGTCTTGCCCATTGATTGGCGTTGGTCCCTTAATTCTCTCTCTTCTGTCGAGAAGTACAAGTGCTGGCCCGTAAGTCCTAACGACGTCAGGCACTTGTTCGCTTTTTCAAACTTCGTCAATCCATTTTGTTCATTGCCGTTGGTTTTTCCTCGTATAATCTGTGTAAGATCTGACTCAGTCTGCGTGCTTTAGGATAATTGTTTTGTTTTTATTATTAATGTCCCTCGGTGGATCTACTTTCCTGTTTCAGATCGTAGATTTGATTTGATATCTGTGCACAATAAATGTGGAAGTGTATTTACAAAGTTCGGGAATAAGAAGATCATGAATATAGCTAGCTGAGTGGTTAACATAAACCTTTCGTTTTTTTTCCCCTGAAACTAATGTCTCGTGTAAATCTATTTGTTTTTGTTTTGTTTTCTGGGGGAAATATACTCTGGCGAAAACCACGGAAAATTTTATTAATTTTTTTCTGGCGATATATTGTAGTTGTTCTCGTCAAGTACTCTGTTTTTATTCACTGGTGAACCTGGTAAGGTGTCCTGCTTGCACGTTATTGTTAACTGTAACGTGCTTGGGGTTAATGAGAACACCGAGAATAAAGGCTTTTTGTTTTTGTTCTTAAAGTATATGCTTCTTTTTTTCACTCTTACACTTTGATTACTCTAATTTTTGTTCTTAGAGTTTTTCGTGGGACCCTAGTTACTGGAAAATATTGCTTTTTGCTCGGTCGTACAGAATCAAGGATTAAAACGATTTTGTTTAACTGAAGCCATTATCTTCGTTCTCTTTTAATGATGTTTGGAGTTTTACTGATTCTGGGCTACATTGTTTTCATTTTGAATGGAAACTGGAAAGAAGCTTTCTTTTTCTCAGTTGTGTTGTCCATGATATTGTTTATGTCAGCTTTCACCTTTGTTATTTATTATCTTGCAAATTACACGCAATATATAATATTCTGATTGTCTACGACTTTTTGACACTTCTGAAATTGCTAAGAGGTGCATGATTGTCTATTACTCTGCATCTTTTAAATTGCTAAGTGAATCTACTATAACTTTTTTATACCTCTTAAAGATTCTTCTCCGCTTATTAATTTGACTTATGGCTATGTAAAGGGCTAGCCTTTACATTCTATGGCAAAAGGCATACAACCAACCTTTAATAATTTAATAGAACAAAACCAGCTAGGTCCGTGATTACATGCTTGCCTTTTTTTTTTTTTTTTTTTTTGGTGGATAAATTTTACCTTTGCCTGGGCTTGTTTTACCTGTAGAGTGCTATCTAACACTCGCAGATTGTAAGAATCCTTTATTCTATGGATAGGAAGGCACATCTTCGATGAGATGTCCTTTGGCATGTGCTTGCTTATATTCTTCATTATTGCATTATAACAGGACAGGTCATGCATTATGACCTATTTATCATTCTCATATTATGGTCAGAACTATAAATTTTGTGAAGTACCTTATTTATGGATAAATTCAACAAGAAGTAATGCATAATAATGAAGGGAATCAGCATTATAGTCTGTAGAAACTCCTTGACAATGAGAGTTCCTCTTGTGTGGAGCATATACAAGAATTGTCTCTTGAACTTTGAAATCAATTGAACAGTTGGTAATCTTATCTTTTGGCTGATGTCCTTGGTTAATTTTATGCTTGTAGGTTCTTGGAAAAATTATATGTGGTCAAACAGTGGAAAATTTTCCCTTATGCCCAAGAAGGAAGTCGAGGACCTGATAGGTTCAAGTTTTCCCCTTGGTAATAATATCAGTCCCCAGGATATTATTGATATTTCTTTGTCATCATCTGAAGATAATGATGCAGACGATGACAATGACCTGTCTACTGAAGATGCATCTAATCAATTAGTCCTTTATGATCCTCTGGCAAATGGTTCCCGGGCAACTGAACTTGTCCCTAATCCTCCTCAGTGTGAATCGCCATTGCATCCAATAAGTAAACCTCGATATTCAACTCCCAGAGTTCTGCCATCGGTGGGGGCTTTCACTGTGCAATGTGCAAACTGTTTTAAATGGAGGTTGATACCAACGGAGGAAAAATATGAAGAAATACGTGAGCATATACTTGAGCAGCCTTTTAGTTGTGATGTTGCTCGTGAATGGCGACCTAATGTATCTTGTGATGATCCAGAGGATATTTCTCAGGATGGCAGCAGGCTCTGGGCTATTGATAAGCCAAGTATTGCACAGCCTCCTCCTGGATGGCAACGACTTCTAAGGATCAGAGGAGAAGGAAGCTCCAAATTTGCAGACATGTATGCATTTATTCTGCCATTTTTTCAAATGTTATTTGAAACTTGTTTGTGCTGTAAAGTGATGCTTTTACACTTGTTTCCATTAGTTTTCATCTTTGACTTATACTGTAAATTTATTTTCTCTAGGGAGGAGGGCTGTGCTCCTACATGGTTCTGTTATTGGCAATGTGTCCTTTATTATCTGTATTTCTTTTTTAATTGACATCTTGGATGCTTTAGTGACATAATTGTGATTGTGATTGTATGCCAAGATGTGAAGAAGAAATGCTTTAAAATCACTTGAAAGAGTATTGATTTGCTACTAGGCGAATGATATTAGATATGGTGTTTTGAAAATAAGTGGTACGTTGGTGGGAGAAAGGTTTATAAAATATTAAGTGTGGATGTTGATAGATCACATCATGCTAAAGATCGAAAAAATTCTCAGTATAGTTCTGCACCCTGCATCACTATATAGTATTTCTAAGTTGAAATTTGATATCATTGTGAGAAATTGTTCTGGTCTATCATTGCTTTATATATCTAGTATTTTATTCAAAACTTTTGAATTTTGTTTGGTATTTATGTGTTCATTATGTTGCATGCATCATATTTCTTTAGCCTCCCTTTTGGAGACTCTTGCTCCTCAATGATCACTATGTATTTATTTTCCTTTTTAATATTTCAGATATTACATAGCACCATCAGGCAAGAGACTCCGCTCAATGGTAGAGATCCAGAAGTATGCACAAGCTACTTTATTATCTTATAAGTGTGATCTGAAAAAAAATTCCAGCCCCAATTTCTTTCTCGTGCATTGATTATCAAATACTTCTGTTATTATTACGCGGTTCTTTGTTAAGTTAAACATTAACATTCAGGGGTGTTCATGCTTTTTTATATGTCCATGGTGGCTTTTCTTGTGCAGATACTTGCTTCAACATCCAGAATATACAGGTCATGGATTAACTCTTTCACGTTTTTCATTTCAAATACCAAGGCCATTGCAGGATAACTATGTGAGGAAACGCCCTGCTAGAGTTACTGCTCCATATGGAGGCAATGGACCTGCTCAAGCTGAGCAAGGTATTGAAAAGTTTACATTTGTTTGTGGCAAAAATAAAACTTCTGAAAATAAGTGAGCTTTGATGCTGCAATGAACAAATGCAGTTTTATGATAACATTCATATACATGTATCATGCAGCAAATCCTCTACCACTTTCTCGGGTGGGTCCAGCAGATGACTGTACAGAATTGCATCATGGTAGGACAGTGCTTCCAGCACCATCCATGGATTCCCCTACTGTTAACCCTTTTAGCCGTCCTGCCAAAAAACAAGCAACTCAGAGCTCCTTTCAAGGAACAAATAGTAAGGCAAGGTTTATGAGTTAAGTTAAAGCGGAAGTGTCTGATATGATTTCATGTTAGCTATTTTTCCTTTTGGTTGGGCCCCTTATGATGTTAAGGGTGGGGAGGACACTGGATTTTATTATATGGTTTTTGTCTTCTTAGGATATGTTTAGTTGTTGGAAAGACATGAATGTGTCGATAGAGAATAGAATAGGCTAAAATAAGATTATGGAATGATACAGAGGTGAGAGCCATGGAGTAATGGATAAGTAGGAATGAGGATTCATGACCTTATTCTTGTCAATTCTTATTCCCACGCCTCTATCATCTCATGACTTTCATTTTTCTATCATTCTCACTTCTCTATTGATCTACAACCTTATTTTAGTTCATTTTATTCTCTATCAACTCATCTGTTTTCTTTCCAGCAACCAAACAGGCCTTATCCTTTTGGAATAGATTAGTGTTGAAAGTGAAATGTTACAGAGATTGGAAGGAATATGCCAGATGCAAAAAGTGGTGCATAACAGGTGTACTTTTTGGTGGGGATGGTACTTGGCTAAAATAGAAAAAGATGATGCCGAACAGTGGTTTTGAGTTTGGATTGTAAACTAGGCATGTTTAGTCATGCAGGAAACAATGTATAGACAATATATGTTATATTATGCAACCAAAAAAAAAAGGGGTTATATCAGCTTGCATCTTGTAGGTATGATCATTATCATCAAACTTTCAAGAGTCAACTCTATTAAGTTTATTGGTTATACATTATAACTTATGAAATTGTGTCATTTTGATCATAAATTTGGATTACATGTAAAGTCATTTAAACTTACGAATTAACTCTTCAAATTTATTATTTTATGTTTTTAATTTATAAAATCATATCAATTTGTTTATAAATTCAAATAATATGCAAATTTAGTTAAACACTAGAATGACTCATTAAACACACTAAACTTGTGAATTTTTTACCAAGTTGAGCAAATGTATGCAGTATAAAACTTGATTTATAAAAGTGATAGGATCCAATTCAAAAAATAAAATAAAATTCAAAAGGAAAATATTAATATTAATAAAAAAAATAAAACAAGAAATACTAAAAATATGTTGCTCTCTTTATATATTTCAATATTGATTATGATAGATAACCTATCAATATATATTAATTTAATTTCAATGATTTAAATTTAAAATGTATTTAAATTAAATTATGATCATATTTTATGTTTTAATTATTTAATTATATATTTTTATAACTACTTATTAATAAAGATAAATTCATACTTTTTATAAGCTTATGATTCGAATTTATATTTTTACCATGGCATTATTTAAACTTGTGAGATTGACATTTTTAATTTTGGTTGATAATAGAAGTTTTCCTAATTTTTTATTGGCAAATAAAGAAAGAATTTTTCCTTTTTAACTTTTTAATATTTTATCATCTTAAAAACTATTGTGGCTCTTTTGTCGCTTATTGGCCAACGTTCTGGTCATATCTACGAGTTTTTCTTTTCTTTTTTCTTCAAGCTTTGCTTGCCATCTGAAATTGAAAATATCAACCATAATTAATAATTTAAGAATTAAGGTATAATTTTATCTTTAAATTATTTTTAAAAGAATAATGTTATTCCTAAATTATTTATCATAGAATATTATTTCTAAACTAATCAAACCGAAGCAATATTATCCTTACTGTTTAAATGTCTGTTACTATAATTAGTGGGATCCACTTTTTATGAGTTAAGATATAATTTTATCTTTAAAATATTCTCAGAGAAGCAATGTTGGCTTCACCATTTGAAAAACAAAAAATTAAATAAAAATAAAATAATAATAATATTAAATGCATATATAATATAAAATTATAATAATATCAAACAAAAATATTATTAAATGTATGTATAAAAGTAAATAAAAGAAAAAATATAAATTATAATTTTATAATTTGTCAAATATAAGTAAATCTTGATTAAATTAGATATGAGTAAACTCAAAAGTATTTGTATATGCACCTAAAGCTATCAACCAGAGCCGTCATTAACTACTCGATTTGGACCAAAAAAATTGCTTTCATAATTGAGTTGGGTTGGATAAGAGTTAAGTCACTATTAAGTCAGAAACTAAAGTTGAATTGGAACTGAAATGATTTTTAAAAAGCTGGATAGTTTTAAACATAATATTAAAAAAAGCTTAAGAATTTAAAAAAGTAAAAAATTTCAAAATTAGATCCTATTAAAAGCCAATTTTATTTTAGATTAAGGTGTAATTTTTTTCTTAAATTATTTTCGGAGGAGTAATGTTACCCCTAAACTAATCAAATCAGAGCAATGTTACCCTTGCTGTTTAAACGTCTGTTACTATAGTTAATGGGACCCACTTTTTATAAGTTGAGGTGTAATTTTATCCTTAAACTATTTCCAAAGGTGCAATGTTACTCTCACCATTTAAAAATCATAAAATTAAATAAAAATAAAATTATAATAATATTAAATAAAATAATATTAAACATATATATAAATATAAAATTATAATAATATAAAATAAAAATAATATTAAATGTATATATAAAAATAAATATAAGAAAAATATAAATTATAATTTTATAATTTTTCAAATATAAGTAATTTTTGATTAAATTAGATATGAGTAAACTCAAATATATTTACATATACACCTATATCTATTGACTTGAGCTATCAGTAACTACTCAATTGGGACCAAAAAATAGCTTTCACGATTGAGTTAGATTGGATAAGAGTTCAGCCATTATTAAGTCAGAAACTGAAGTTAAATTGAAAACTGAAGTAGTTTTTAAAAAATTGGACAGTTTTAAACATAATATTAAAAAAATTTTAAAAAATTTAAAAATTAGATCCTACTAAAAGCTAATTTTATTTTTGAACCATTTACATGTATAAAATATAATTTGAGACCATTTTTTTATAAAGATGTTGATAGCTATAGGTGCAAATGCAAATACTTTTAAGTCTACTCATACCTAATTTAACCAATTTTACAAGTTATAAAATTATAATGTATATTTTTTCTTATATTTATTTTTATATATACATTTAATATTATTATACTTTTATATTTATATATACATTTAATATTATTTTATTTAATATTATTATAATTTTTATTTAATTTTATGAATTTTTAAATGGTGAGGACAACATTGCTTTTCTAAGAATAGTTTAGGAAAAAAATTGCATCCTAGTTTATGAAAAGTAGGTCCCATTAATTGTAGTAACGAACGTTTAAATGGCAGAGGCAACATTGCTCTGATTTGATTAATTTAAGGGCAATATTACTGTGATAAATAGTTTAGGAGCAACATTACTCATTTGAGAATAGTTTAAAGGCAATATTGCACCTTAATCCATAATTCAAAATACAATGTCATTTATTAAAGATGTTATCAATTGAACAATGTCATTTATTGAAGATATTATCATTTGAAGACGGATGAAACTGACTTGGTATTTAATTTCAGAATTAAAATTAAAAAAATAAGGCTAAAATGTATAAAATTCTTCAAACTTTAAAATAGTTGCATATAACGCTCTCATCTTTAATTTTTTAAAATTGAACCTCCTAACTTTTAATTTATTTTTTTTTTGAAGCCATTTGCCGTGAATTACCTTGTTATATTTGAAAGTCCACCCAAGAAGGGGTGAATTGAACTTAATAAATAGGCTAATATTTAAAATTAAAGAGACCAGTTTAGAACGATATCATCAATCACAGAGAGTAAGAAAGAAAAGCTTGCATAGGTCTTTGTCCTAATTCAGCTCAACCCACTTAAATGTACATCCAATCTTCAAGTACCACTAGAGATTTTCCCTACTAACTCCATCAAGATTAATTCAAGCTCTTGATAGCCTCAGTACAATCTCAAACTCAGACTACAGTCTAAATCACTTCCTTTACAAAGGTAATGATATAACTCCCTTGAGTTTAAAGACCTTTGCTTCAAGTTAGAAAAATAGAGATGAATATAATAAGTTCAAGAATGAACTACTACTATTAAATACTCTTTCTAAGAGTTTATATATAATCAATGAAGCTTTCTTGTAATAAATGTAAACTTTGAAAGTTGGAAAATAATAAATAAGACTAACTCAATTCATTCGTGTGCATTCGTTGTTCATTGTCTTAAAATGTTCTAATTTATGGGTGGGCTTTATAAGTAAGCCGTTACGCTCATAAATATAGCTGTTAGAGTTATCATCTTCATTCTTTTGAGTTATCTGGGCATTCTTTGGAAGAAGGCAATATGATAGTGCTTTACAACAGAGCTTTCTCTTTCACTTAATGTTTCCTTGCATTAAATGTTCTAACAAGATAGGTAAGAGGTTCTTTTAGAATAAAGAATCTATTTGGGAATAAGGAAAATTTAAATAAGATTGAAGAGACCTTAAACCAATTCAAGGTTGTGTTTAGAATGATTCTCAAATAATTAAGTAACTAACACAACACTTAAATAGAGAAACGAAAGGAATCAAAGAGGTTTTTTGAAGAACCCTTGTTTTGGATAAGAGAAATAAAGCATGTATCATTGGGTTTATTTCAAAATAGTCGGGCATATTCTAAAATAGTGAAGAACACAATAACAAAAAGTAGACCAAGCTTATTTTGAAGTATAACACTTATATCGAAAGAGAACTACATAAGCATTGATCTAAAATCTTTTATTTGAGAATAAATGAAGCTACTCCCAAATAAACCATTCCTAAATAAGCTCCTTCTGGACATATTTATACAAGAGATGAGATAAAGGCAACTTCAATTAAAGATCCCACTATTTTAGAATAATGTAAGGATATTTCAAAATAAGGCAAGGATATTTCAGAATGTGTAAGAAGAGGATATTGAGGAATAAAGAATTTTCCAAATGAATAAGCCATTCCGAGATTGTGATGCTCAATGGCGGAGCCACATACACTTGAGGCCTTGAGGAGGGCATATGCACCCTCTCAACTTGGAAAAAATTACAAATGAGCAGTAAATATTTTGCTATTTTACCTTCTCTAGCCACAAAATTTTGAACCCCTTAAAGTCTAGGCCCATTTTAGGTAAGTGTTTTAACTTAAGTCTAATCATAAATTCACTAAGTCCAAAACTCTAATATGATTTTTAGAAAAGACTATGCTTATTTATTTAATTTTTTGAAATTTGTAGTTAATAATTATAGATTTTTGTATATAAATAATATTATAAATTAGTAACTTATATGGAAGGAAATATTTTTAATAGCATTTGAAAATAAATAGGGGACAATTATAAAATATATGATTATTTTTAAAAAATATTAAATAATTTTTTAATTATTATTTTTAAAATTAATCTGTAACCCTTGACACAAGGTACTGACTCTGCCACTAGTGATGCTTTTTTCAAAACAAAGTTCAAATTCACATAAAGTGACAAAGGCTCTCCAAATTTAAAATTTTGGTTCTAAATATATTTGAGATACCTTTTAAGTAATATAAAAGGTCCTTAAGGAATTAAAATCAACATAAATACTTAATTTTAAGAGAGAAACAATTTTAAAAAAATACAAGAGTTGTTTAAGCATTTCCTGATTATTTATGAATAACGAATTTATTTGGAAATAAGCATGCCTATTTTAGAATAGGCTGAAAGCTAAAATTTTAAAGTAATGAACATGAATTCCTTTACAAG